CGCACATGTGTGAAGCAGGACTAATAGATATTTTGACACTTTCCCTTTAAAAGAGAAGTTTGGGTCTAAAAAAAACCCAAACATTCATACTCACCTATGAAGTCGCACAGATGTTGGCAACCACACATGAAATCACACAGATAGTCAGCTTTGAAGTTGTGGGACTTCAAAGCCGCACAGGTGTGAACCAGGACTAATAGATATTTTGACACTTTCCCTTTAAAAGAGAAGTTTGGGTCTAAAAAAACCCAAATGTTCATACTCACCTATGAAGCCGCACATTAAATCACACTGAAAGTCGGCTTTGAAGTTGCAAGATTTCAAAGCCGCACAGGTGTGAACCAGGACTAATAGATATTTTGACACTTTCCCTTTAAGAAGATTAGTTTGGGTCTAAAAAAACCCAAACATTTCATACTCACCTATGAAGTCGCACAGATGCCAGCAAGCCACACATGAAATCTCACTGACAGTTGGCTTTGAAGTTGTGCGACTTCAAAGCCGCACAGGTGTGAACCAGGACTGACAGACATTTTCCCTTTAAAAAAAGAAGTTTGGGTCTAAAAAAAGCAAACATTCATACTCACCTATATGTCGCACAGATGTCAAAAAGCAGCACATGAAATCGGCTTGGAAGTTGTGCGACTTCAAAGCCGCACATGTGTGAACCAGGACTGACAGACATTTTGACACTTTCCCTTTAAGAGAAGTTTGGGTCTAAAAAAAAACAAAAACAACAAACATTCATACTCACCTAGGTGGCTGCAGCATTGGTCTGATACTGAATCTGTCCTCTGCTGATTCTAGAACTGAGTGATCACAGATGGCTGATCGCTCAGTTCTCGGTCTTCAGAGAACCAGTGACTGGCAGCCACCAGCTCTCCTCTGCCCCTCCAGCGGTCACTGAAGCACAGGGCTGCGGAGGGGGGGCTGGCGATGTCCTGAGAGACTGAGCCAGCTGCTTGGTGGATCCCGACAATATGGCCCAGATCTTTCCAGAGCCTGGACCGGCTCTGTGTCCTCGGCTTAAAATGGGTCGCAGGAATGCAGAACTAACTGCACCCCTGTGATCCACAGGGCCAATACTTCTTCTGTAAGGAACTCAGCAACTTGTCTAGCCATCGATATTAACAAGAGCTTTGAAAAATTAAAGTGCAAAATTTCAGGCCCAATTCTGAAGGCAAGGATAAGCGACTTTACTTTCAGCTACGTGGCTACAATTTTCTAATCGCATTGGACATTTTGTGAATGGGAGTCTAAAGTCTGCAAGGTATCCAAGCGATTGCCAAAGTCCACCCTAGTTTAAAAATCTCAGCACCAGGAACCGCCACCCCGTGCATCTGCAGTACCGCTGTCGTGAACAAAAATCTGATTATTATAGGATTCATAGTCCTGACATATGACAGTCACCTAATTTACTCACCGTTTTGCTGATGCCGGAGATTTGGCTACTATGACTGCATTTCTGTAGTCAGGAATCTGCAAAACACAACAATGTTGTGAATTGATATCCACACTTTTCATAACACACAATTTGTATTATGCAAGTCTGCAGGGGGATAGAGGTTTGGGCTGAGCGGAGCTCTACTTTAAGGTAGGCACACAAATGCACTTCCTCCCTTTTTTTTTTTTTGGGAAGGAAAAAAAAATTCGAACATTGCCCGTTAATCCAAAGAGTGCCAAGGTGGCACAGATCCTGTTTTCTTCTCACCCGACTGTATCACTATTTTTTTTTTCTGAAGTGTGCAAAGATTCCAAATGCAAAAAACACATCACTGTTCCGTATAAATCAGACACAAATATATTGAATAAAAATGGCATTGGTTTTTGAGTCAGGAAGGGTTTACACTCCTGTCAGGTTCATTCTGCTGTCTGGATCGCATTGCAGAGGATTTACCTTTCACTGCCCATCCTAGGATCACAACAGGTAAAAGGACAGGAAACCTTCACAAAGGGAGGGGGAATGACCTTCTTACCCTAGGTTCACATATGTGCGGGTGGTGCCGTTGTGGATCCGCAGGAAAATCCATGCAGCCGCACCACCCACACAGAGAATTGAGGACCCGCAGGCGGGTGCCATTACTTCTAATGGCACGCCGCCTGCAGAGGAAAACGCAGCCGTACTGAGAACAGGGGCGGACTGACCATTTGGAAACTCGGGCACTGCCCGAGGGTCTGGGGTCAGTAGGGGGCCCCATGAAATGCCCCTGGTACCTTTTTCATAGGCTTTTTTGAGTTTGGGCAAGGACACAGGGGCCCCATGATCCCCTATTGCCCAGGGGCCCCATGAGTTGTCAGTCCGCCCCTGACTGAGAACCGAGGTTCTGCGGGCTGCGTTTTCCAAAGAAGTGCAGGGACTTCTTTCCCTGCGTGTCACGGGCATGGGAGTCCATTCAAATGAATGGGCTCTCGTACCACACGGCCGCATAGACAGCTGTCACCTGAAAAGGTGTCCCCATTGGAAGATATTCCCTCACCTCCTGTTCTGGTGACAACTGTAATTTTTGGATTTCCCATCAGTTTCTGTTTTGGTAACAATGGCAACCAGGACAAATAGAGAAGCTGAATGTACCTAGTGGGGGGACAAAGACACCAATAAAAATCTACAACACGCAGTGTGGGGTGACAGCTATTCATCAGGGCCTTTAAAATTGTACCATGGCAGCCAAGTTTGTTTTAAAGTGTAACTCCACTTTTGGTAGGAAAAAAAAACAAAAAAAAACAAAAAAAACCAAACAAACAAAAAAAAAAAAAAAACAAAACCCACTCCTCCCCCCAGGCGATCTCTCGATGAAACTGGATGCAGGATACCATCTGCCTATGTGTGGGGTGCAAGAGCGTTTGACTTTCATTGTACGCAGGGGTCCTTTTTTGCTGGGAAGAGTTACAATTTCATGTAGTGGCAGCGAAGGACTCCAATCAGGATCCATGAACACGGGGTGTTCTGCTAACACTGGTAACGTCACGTTAAAAACGTGGGTTTTTCAGCTTTTTTTTAAGCATTTTTGCATTGGCGTTTAGCTGCATTTCATACCCCCCAAAAATGTTTTTTTTTGATCAAAAAAAGTCCAAAAACGCCGGTTTACCGCGTTTTGCCACATTTTTCAGTGCTAGAGTATTTTTACAGCTAAAACTCCTCTAGAAGCCCACTAGTCATGGGGTTTTTTCCACCCAAAAAAAGTTGATTACAGCCAAAAAACGCCAAAAGGCAAAAACAGCAGCTGTAAAAATGTCCAGTGTGCAAGAGGACTCAGGCTAGGTTCACATATGTGCGGGTGTATATATATATATAAATTTATTTCAGGTACTTATATAGCGCTGTCAATTTACGCAGCACTTTACATATATATTGTACATTCATATCAGTCCCTAACCCTCAAGGGGTGTACAATCTAAGGTCCCTAACTCACATTCATACATACACATACTAGGGACAAATTCAAATTAGACAGGATCTAAGATATATATATATATATATATATATATATATATATATATATATATATATATAGAGAGAGAGAGAGAGAGAGAGAGAGAGAGAGAGAGAGAGAGAGAGAGAGAGAGAGAGAGAGAGAGAGAGAGAGAGAGATAAATAAAAAATATATATACATAAATTAAAAAAATAAAAATATAAATAGAAAAAAAAAAAATAATTTTATATATATATATATATATATATATATATATATATATATACACACACACACATATATATTGAATATGGGCAAAAGTGTAGCATTTCAAATATATGGCAATATATTTGGGAATAATATTTCTAAAATATATTTGAAATATATTCCATATATATTTCCATATGGAACACCCTAGTGTTGGCGATGGAACGGTTCAAAATCGCTGCGATTCCGGCTTTGTGGTGCCACACCGATTTGAAGAAAAGTTTCCTGCACCATTTTTTGCGATCGCAAGAAGTCGCACAGATTTCAGCCACGTCGCACTGATATGCAGCATTGAAATTGTGCAGCTTCCAGTGAAGTCGCATGATCCAGTGTAAACCAGGGCTAAACGTAATTGCCCCTCAGTGCTCCGTCCAGCCGCAGCCACGGTCAGCTTCTCATGGATGCCGGCAGCAGGACTGGATGGTGCTTTTACCTTCCACCATCAGCTGTGATAGAGCCTCATACATCAGGGCTAAATGGCCATTGTGGACGAGTCCTTCCTGGGAAATGCCTGCATGTTGAAGCGAATCTACCCAACCAATCGTGAGAGAAGCATCCAGATTGACTTTTCCTGCTGAATCATAAACATGGATGCTTGACTTTACGGAGCCCATGTCTGGCAGCCATCTGTAGCCGGCTTGATCTTTTGAACCCTGGAAGATTCCAGCAACCTACAAATGATTCTAACAAGCAACTGATTGCTCAATTCTATATGCAATACAAAAGCCCACAAAGCTCTCTGCCGCTGCAAAAGCCCGAAGGTTGTGCCTAGTCGGCATTATCCATGTAAAACTGATGTTTTCATTTACTGCTCACAAAAAAGAAAAAAAGGGAGAAGCTGGGACGTAGTCAATATGCACCTACACGTTGTACAGAACACCGGATCCTTCGCAGCCAGGTCTAATGAAATGCACGCTCATTGTTCAGCCAGAAACGCGATCCGCCTCTATTGTGCCAAGCAGAACATTTAAGATGCCTGGCTTCCTATATCTGCTCTGTAATTATGCAGCGCAGAGATCATGTGACATTCCCGAGAACCATTCTAGCGGGAGGAAGCGTGGCGAGAAACAGAAGCCTGCGAGTTCCAGGCGCTGGTGAGGAGAAAATGTTCATGTGACCTGCCAGAAATCACAAGGCCTGCCGTCAGTCTATAGAAACTCATTAACTCCCAAGAGATACACGCTTAACCCCATGAACATGTAAAGTGTTGGAAACTCTTATCTAGACACAGCAAAGAGACTGGCATCAGGTGATACACAGAGAGGAAACAAATCCTCCTACATAAGTTGTACCTGTGTATCTGCAGTTCACTATTCCCTACATCTGTTCAAAGTGCTGAATTTACAGGCTTGTCTGAGAGCTCAGAAAAAAAGGGGGCGGAGAGCTAAAGTTACACTCTGTAGAGCTCAAGTTACACTCTGTAGAGCTCAGTAAGGAGAGCTCTGACAGCTGATTGGAGGGAAGAGACACGCCCCCCTCCACACAGCTCACAGGAACACAGTAGAGGCTGTCAATCTGCTGGAGGTCCCTCCCCTGTCACCATTTTTTCTCTTGGTGTCAGGAAAACTTGTCAAGTGATCCATGCTGATAGAGGAACGAAGCAACAGACAGATATGACACTTCATGCTCTGGGAAGATGAAAGTGAAGGAATTGAATCAGATTTGTTACCAACCTCACAACATAAATGGGAGATCTACTCCAAGACATGAGTTCTGTGGAGTAGGTTCACATATTCTGAGGAAGCTGAGGCCCTCTTTGCACAAGAGTAATAAGTATCAGCCCCTGGATTGTTCTTGGTTCTACCCCTATTCTCCCCCCCCCCCCCCCCACTTTTTTTTTTTTTTAATTTCTTCCTCTTTCCTTCTTCATCTTAATCCTTCTCTTAATTTGTCTCTTGCAGTTTGATTTTATTTTCTGAAAAATGTAAGTGGGGTAGCTCCAGTCCCCCCCCCCCCCCCGTGGGAATCACAGTTCAGGTTTCTGGGATACTGGGATTTGTTGAACTCGGATGAGCATTCTGATATTTTCTGATGTTTTCATTTTCTATTGTTCTACAATACCTTTTATCGTCTCAAGCTGTTCCACTGACTCTTTCCTATGTACCCAGATGTTTACATACCGTCCATCATGGACGCTAACTTATGTCAAACTTTCATTTAAAAAAATAAAAAAATAAATGAACATTTGTTTGCAGGTAGAAAAATGTGCATTTATTATTTTTTGGCTGCAGGAGCCTGGAAAGCATTACGGCAGCGATCAGTAGAGGTCTCCTGCAGATCAGTCTGTAGATCTGCTTGTCTATGTGGGATGTACAAGCACACAGAGATACTGACAGGAAGATTCAATGACCTACCATGGCGCTTCACAGCACCATGGTGGTTCAATGGGAACTACAAGCCCTCAGCCAATAAAGCTGTTGGGCCTTGTAGTTCATTCATTCACAGAACACTGTGAATTTAGGACGCAACCACGTGGGCGGAGCCCCGCACGGCCGCGCTGTTTTTAAACCTGTTGAGCACACAGATATACTGACAGGAAGATTCAAGAAACTACCACGGTGCTAGTTCATTGAGAACTACAAGCCGACAGCCGCTAAAGCTGTTGGGACTTGTAGTTCATTCATTCACAGAACACTGTGAATGAATAAAGAAGCGAGGGCGGAGCCCCGCACGGCCGCGCTGTTTTTAAACCTGTTGAGCACACAGATATACTGACAGGAAGATTCAACGAACTACCACGGCGCTTCACAGCACCATGGTAGTTCATGGAGAACTGCATGCCGGAAGCTGCTAAGCCTTTGGGACTTGTAGTTCCTTCATTCACAGAAGGATGTGAATGAATGATGCAGCCGTGTGGGCCTCTACCTTTGGGAGTCATGCTTATAACCGTCCATCTTGCAATGCCTCGTGGGACTTGTAGCTGGAGGGCCGCCAGTTGACACCTGTGCAACCCATTTATAACCACCTAAGATGTAAGTGAGGCAGGAAAAAGAAGGGCCTTAGCGGCAACATGCTGCACATATACATCGCAGGGCGGCCAACATTTCTGTGCTGGGAGTGCACTCCCAGCATGAGACTAAGCAGTGTAGACAGCTCTCAGTCCCTGCTAATGATCGGTATCTAGCAGGACCAGCCCCCAATCATGCGATCATTGTGACCAGGGGCGTATTTACCACAAGGCAAACAAGGCACTTGCCTAGGGCAGCATTTTTCAGGGGGCAGCACCTCATCCCAGAAGAAGAGATAAAAGAAGGGACATGTACGCCATAGGAACCAGGTGGGATCCGAGAGAGGCTGCAGGCTGCTTGATGGTGTATGTGGAGCCTGACTCTCGTTCCCGGGGATGTCCAGAGCTGTGAAGATGAGTGTCTTTCTCTCTATTGCTGGGGGGGAGGGGTAGTGGAAGGCTCTCCCAGGTGGGGGGCAGGGCTGTTGTTGGTCAATGTCAGGCTCTCTCTGCGGGAGGAGGAAGGGGGGTGGTGTTGGTCGGTTTTCGTGGGGGGCAGATGATTTTTGTGTTGCCTAGGGCAGCACAAAACCTAAATACACCACTGATTGTGACAGCCAATCACTGGTCTTGTGATCGGCCAATCTTTCCCAGACCCCACATTCAGAACGTTTTTAAAGGGACGCCAGGATGGGTGGGAAGGGGTTAAATAACATTTCTATAACAGAATTTTTTCCATTCAATAAAATATATACTGCCATCAGCAAAAAACATCTACATTAGTTAATGGAAGATTTTAAACAAATTAAAGCGGAGTTCCAGCTGGAAAAAAAAAAAGTCAGCAGCTACAAAAACTGTGTCCTCATGTCCTCACCACCGCTGTTTCACCAGCTGTCTTCTCTCCCTGGCGCCGGCATCTTCAGTGTGGGCAACTGGATCTGACAGCTTGCGGCTTCACAGCCGGGTGCCCACTGCGCATGCGTGGGAAGAGCTGTGCTTTGTGAATGGCTCTGTAGTCTTCTGGGACCTGTCACGTGTCCCAGAAGACTGCATGGAGGGAGGACAACTTCCTCTTATGATCGCCTAGGCGATCGCAGCTGAAGTGGGAGCGGGTACCTGTCAAATTCGGGTACCCGTTCCCCCACTCTCCGCAAAGGTGCCAATCCTTAATGGGGAGCGGGGGACAAAGCATTAAAGCGGAACTTCCCCTTATGGGTGGAACTCCACTTTAAGAACCATATATGTTGTATCATCAATGCCAATATCACCAGCAGGGATAGCATTGATGCTACTTGATTTTATGATTATTCATTTGCTTGATTATGACTTTTTATTAGATGTGATGATTGCTTTTTATGCTCTTATTTACAGTCAGGATCATTGTTTAGCATACTTTTAGTATAGACTTAGCATTCTAGAGTGCATACCTTTTAATTATGTTATAAACTAGAGATTGTTGTTTTAGATACTCAACTTATATTGTCTTATGTTATTTTGATTCTTAGCCCTGATGAAGGTTAGCCTTGAGCCCCCGAAACGTGTTGGCTTGTTGATTACATATTCTAAAAAATAAAATTCTGAATCACGTTTTGTGGCACTCTCATCTTTCTAATGGTCTCTAGACTACTCCAAGGACCTTTTTGGATACCCCAGTTGACAGAGAGCTGCCTCTAAAATTAGATTTTGACCCCCAATTTCTGCCTACTCAGCACTGCACCAACACATACCATTCAAGTCTATGGGAATGTAAAGCCCCCATTCTGCCTTCAGTGGTTCTGAAGGCAGAATGTTTTTTCTTTTTTTGTACCTTAATGCATTTACCATTATGGTAAAAAACCTTCTGGGTGCAGCCCCCCCCCCTCATATTTACCTGAGCCCCATCTCGATCCAGCAATGTGAATGGGGGGGGGGGGGGGGGGGGGGGGGGGACTGCTGGCGGGGGACCCAAAGAGAGGAGGATCGGGGCTGCTCTGTGCAAAACCATTACACAGAACAGGTAAGTATACCATGTTTGTTTTTTTTTTTTTTAAATTGCAACCTTTAAAATAACTTTAAGCAGGTCAAAGGCATGTCAGGAGGAGGTCACTTAAAGGTCAAATGCACCTGTCAATGAATTCTGAAGGATCTCAGAAGGGCCCCAAGTTGATGGCATTGACACAAAGTTTGTGAACACAACCCCTACAGGGAAACTGCCACTACCCACCGTATACAGGGAATTGGCTTTCAAAGATTGCAGCTGCTTTCAATCATGCCGCCTCAACCTCCGCAACATCTCCAGAATACGCCCCTTTTTAACCAATGATACCACAAAGATCCTACTTCACTCACTGGTCATCTCTCGCCTCGACTACTGCAACTCCCTCCTCGTTGGATGACCTTTACATAGGCTATCCCCCCCTCTAGTCCATCATGAATACGGCTGCCAGGCTCATCCACCTTACCAACCATTCAGTGTCTGCTACCCCTCTATGCCAATCCCTCCACTGGCTTCCACTCAGTGTCTGCCACCCCTCTCTGCCAATCCCTCCACTGGCCTCCACTCAGTGTCCTCCATCCCTCTCCGTTAATCCCTCCACTGGCCTCCACTCAGTGTCCTCCATCCCTCTCTGCCAATCCCTCCACTGGCCTCCACTCAGTGTCCTCCACCCCTCTCTGCCAATCCCTCCACTGGCCTCCACTCAGTGTCCTCCATCCCTCTCCGTTAATCCCTCCACTGGCCTCCACTCAGTGTCCTCCACCCCTCTCTGCCAATCCCTCCACTGGCTTCCACTCAGTGTCCTCCACCCCTCTCTGCCAATCCCTCCACTGGCCTCCACTCAGTGTCCTCCACCCATCTCTGCCAATCCCTCCACTGGCCTCCACTCAGTGTCCTCCACCCCTCTCTGCCAATCCCTCCACTGGCCTCCACTCAGTGTCCTCCACCCCTCTCTGCCAATCCCTCCACTGGCCTCCACTCAGTGTCCTCCACCCCTCTCTGCCAATCCCTCCACTGGCCTCCACTCAGTGTCCTCCACCCCTCTCTGCCAATCCCTCCACTGGCCTCCACTCAGTGTCCTCCACCCCTCTCTGCCAATCCCTCCACTGGCCTCCACTCAGTGTCCTCCACCCCTCTCTGCCAATCCCTCCACTGGCCTCCACTCAGTGTCCTCCACCCCTCTCTGCCAATCCCTCCACTGGCCTCCACTCAGTGTCCTCCACCCCTCTCTGCCAATCCCTCCACTGGCCTCCACTCAGTGTCCTCCACCCCTCTCTGCCAATCCCTCCACTGGCTTCCACTCGCCCAACAAATAAAATTCAAATTACTAACAACAACTTACAAAGCCATCCACAACTCTGCCCCCAGCTACATCACCAACCTTGTCTCAAAATATCAACCAAACTGCTCTCTTCAATCCTCCCAAGACCTTCTGCTCTCTAGTTCCCGTGACAGCTCCTCCAAAGGCTCGCCTCCAGGACTTCTCCCGAGCTTCTCCCATCCTGTAGAACTCCCTACCCCAATCTGTCTGGCTGTCTCCTAATCCATTCACCTTTAGACGATCCCTGAAAACCTCTCTCTTTAAAGAAGCCTATCCTGCTTCTACCTAGTAAACCGCCATTTATTTCCTCCATCAGCTCATCCCCCCCCCCCCCCCCCACAGCTATTACCTTTTGTATCACTCAACCCTTCCTCCTAGATTGTAAGCTCTAATGAGCCGGGTCCGAGGTTTCCTCTTGTACCAAATTGTATTGTAACTGTAATGTCTACCTTCATTTTGTAAAGCGCGGAGCAAACTGTTGGCGCTATATAAATCCTGTATAATAATAATAATAATCAGCTTTGAAAAATGTCACTGTGAAAAATGTTTTGTCCTGTATTAAATATTTTTTTGTAAAAGCAAGATTTGTAGATCATAAAAAGAGAGATAAACTATTTAAAGAATGATGAATTAAAAAAAAAACCAGAATAGCATTGACACACAATCAATGCTTCCCTTTAAAGGCCCAGAAACCTATATTTTACTCATCAGTCTCATTCTGTAACCAGTCCATTGGCCTCAATGTCTCCCTATTGGCAACCAAAATAAAAAGTCAAACAAAAACAGCCCAAGGACAGTAAGCCTCTCCCATGCTCCTTAAAATACTTCATTTTCAGGCCTTGTACACACAGATAAGCCTTTGTACAGCCTCCTCGCTATCGGCTGCTATGAACAGTATTGGAGTGAAGGTCACAATATAGGCAGAGGCTGAGCTAAGGAGGCACCAAAAACCGTGGCACTACAACAGGCAGACGTGATGACGTTCACTTGTACAGCTCCCCCCCAGATCTAAAAGCAGCAAAGCTCTGCCCTAAAATCAGAGGTGCGGGTGACAACACAGCAGCACAACGGAGGGACAGTTGTCACCCCATAGCAGAAGGTGCCTGAACAAGGACCTATATCACAAGAGCGACAGTTTTTATTTGAATTAGAGCTGCAGATTAAAAAGAGACTGAAAAATTTTGAATGGCATTGACGGGTTAAAGCTTATGTGATATTTTAGTGACTGGGTTTAGATCTACTTTAAGTGTAGCTGCAACATCCCAACGCACACGTCCCTGCATAGAACAACGGCTGTATGTATAGTGGGTGATGTAGAGACCAAAGGCTGGAACCGTGATACATCAAGGAACAGAAATATCGCCAGCACACCAGGTTTCTCCAATATGGGTCCAAAGCTTTCAATGTGTACTCACATAGTTACAAGGAAAGCAACGTTTCGGAGTCTCGCAGGACCCCTTCATCAGGCATGTGTGATGAAGGGGTCCCGCGAGACTCCGAAACGACTCCAAAATATTGTCCCTACACCGGGTTTATCCAATATGGGTCCAAAGCTTTCAATGTGTACTCACATGGTTACAAAGAAAGCAACATTTCGGAGTCCTTCAGGACCCCTTCATCAGGCATGTGTGATGAATAGGTCCCACGAGACTCCGAAATATCGCCAGCATACCAGGTTTCTCCAATATGGGTGCAAAGCTTTTAATGTGTACTCACATAGTTACAAGGAAAGCAACGTTTCAGAGTCTCGCAGGACCTCTTGATCAGGCATGTGTGATGAAGGGGTCCCGCGAGACTCCGAAATATCGGCAGCACACCGGGTTTCTCCAATATGGGTCCAAAGCTTTTAATGTGTACTCACATAGTAACAAGGAATGCAACGTTTCAGAGTCTTTCAGGACCCTTCATCAGGCATGTGTGATGAAGGGCTCCCGCGAGACTCCGAAATAACGCCAGCATACCAGGTCTCTCCAATATGGGTCCAAAGCTTTAATGTGTACTCACATAGTTACAAGGAAAGCAACGTTTTGGAGTCTCGCAGGACTTCTTGATCAGGCATGTGTGATGAAGGGCTCCCGCGAGACTCCGAAATATCGCCAGCATACCAGGTTTCTCCAATATGGGTGCAAAGCTTTTAATGTGTACTCACATAGGTGCAAGGAATGCAACGTTTCAGAGTCTCGCAGGACCTCTTGATCAGGCATGTGTGATGAAGGGCTCCCGCGAGACTCCGAAATATCGGCAGCACACCGGGTCTCTCCAATATGGGTCCAAAGCTTTTAATGTGTACTCACATAGTTACAAGGAATGCAACGTTTCGGAGTCTTGTACGACCCCTTCATCACACATGCCTGATGAAGGGTCCTGCAAGACTCCGAAACGTTGCTTTCCTTGTAACTATGCGATTACACATTAAAAGCACTGGACCCATATTGGAGAAACCCGGTGTGCTGCCGATATTTCTTTTCCTAGATCTCTTTAAGGTCCCCAAAAGGAAATAAAGGGAAAAAAACCTATGCAGGAAGCTGCCCTTACTTACCCTTCCTTCTGAAAATGCTAGTTCCTGGTGGTAAGGTTGACATAAGTCTTACTCTGCTTATCAAATGTTTATTCCAAGTCAGGGACACAAAAAGTACTCAGGCTACAGGCAGCTGGCATTTTCAGAAGGAGATCAGCCATGACCGGCTCCATATTGCTCTCAGCACAGATTTCCTTAAAGCGGAACTCCAGGCACTATCACATCGCTCACTAGGCACAGACCCACTCTAATGTATTTTGCAGTCACAAGCAATCAGCACATGCAGGGTGCGCACACACAAAGTAGCAAGCCAAGCGCTGTTTTGAAATGGCATGCTAAAAACACATGTCCGCCACTCCGCCATTTTAAAGTGCGCAGCTCTAGTAAAGTGGTTAAAGGAAACTTGTTATTGCCCATGCAGGGAAAAGCAACAGGTTCAACTTACAGCCAATCCTACCAGCTTCACATTCTTACCTTCCTCTGGTTCCCCCACCACTCTGTTCAGCCGCTAGGAAGGAGGAAACAGTCCTGTGCAAACGGTGAGCTTAAACAGGACAGAGGTTTGAAAAAGTGGCTTATTTGCCCAGAAACATGTTGCTTGCCCCCCCGAGACCACCACCCACACCATGGAAGAGTCTGATGGCTGCTTCCATCCAAGTGCCACTTACGGGTTCCCGCTTGGGTTTTTTCCTTTAAACCTGCTGGCAGCCTAACATCCTCCAGTCCCTGCAAACTCTATAGCACAGGCAGCGTGTGGATCCTGGATCCTTCATAAATCACTCCACTTATGTATGGCTGCTTCTCCACAAGCGGACATGCTGCTTCTCCACAAGCGGACATGCTGCTTCTCCACAAGCGGACATGCTGCTTCTCCACAAGCGGATATGCTGCTTCTCCACAAGCGGACATGCTGCTTCTCCACAAGCGGACATGCTGCTTCTCCACAAGCGGACATGCTGCTGCTTCTCTGCTTCTCCACAAGCGGACATGCTGCTTCTCCACAAGCGGACATGCTGCTTCTCCACAAGCGGATATGCTGCTTCTCCACAAGCGGATATGCTGCTTCTCCACAAGCGGACATGCTGCTTCTCCACAAGCGGACATGCTGCTTCTCCACAAGTGGACATGCTACTTCATTACCAGGTTGGTCATCACCCTCTGTGATGTAAGTGGATGCTATTTTTATTCTAAATACATGAAATGTGGTCTTCTATTTGTTTCCAGATCCCTGTCTCCCACATGACATCGCTGAGGCAATGGCCAACCACAAACACTGTCCTACCTACGACAGGACACGCTGTTCTACACCCAGGAATATCAGGTACGTTCTTCCTTCCTAGCAGCTAAACAGAGTGTTGGAGGAGAAAATGAAAGGTATTTGCTTTAAAAGGTATATGCAGGTATCTCTTGATCCTTGCTTTTAATATTTACCTTTGGTACATGTTCACTTTAATATTGTTGCCACTGGTCACCGTTTCAGCTTAAAACACTGTCAACTAAAAATGATGAATCAAATGATTTTTTTTTTTTTTTTTAAGTGAGAGAGAGTTAAAACTTATTGGCCGATTTTGATTTCCATTTGTGTCTCCATTGGAAAAGATTTTCCCTCACTTCCTGTTGTGTCTTCCAGGACAAGAAATAAAAAAAGTAGAACTTTTACAGCGGAAAAAAATTATTTGATCCCCCTGCAGACTTTGTAAGTTTGCCCACTTACATAGAAATTAAGGGCCTGTCAATTTTATGGTAGGTGTATTTTAAATGATAGAGACAGAATATCAACCAAAAATCCAGACAAAACACATAATACAAATGTTATAAACGGAGTTGCAGTTCAGTGAGTAAAATAAGTATTTGATCCCCAAGCAAAACATGGCTTAGTACCTGGTGGAGAAACCCTTTTTGGCAAGCACAGAGGTGAGACGTTTCTTGAGTTGGTTACCAGGTTTGCGCACATCTCAGGAGGGATTTTGGTCCACTCTTTACAGATCTTCTCTAAGGGCCAGTTCACACTACATGTGTTTCAGCTGCTTTTATTTCTGCATCCAAAACACACAGAAAGTAGGTTGTATGGTTGTCAATGTCATAGTTCACATCAGTGCTTACAGTTCCAGTGCGTACTGGTTGCAGAAAAAAAAAGTAGAACATGCTGCATTTTTTCTGCACAGAACTGTACTGGAACGCGGTAAAACGCATCAAAAATGCACCGAAACGCACATGTCCCTATTTAAATTGAAGAAAAGGAGAGGGGAAAAATGAACTGGAATGCATAAAACACGCACTGGAATGTGTCAAAAACACATAAAAAATGCACCGGAACGTCCCAAAAAAGCACCTGGAACGCATCTGGATTGCGTTGCTATAGTGTGAACCGGACCTAAACCCTCAACCACTTTCCTGGAGGGCATTTTTAAACCCCTTCCTGACCAGTTTTCAGTGCTCTCATACTTTGAATGACAATTGCACGGTCAAGCAACACTGTACCCAAACAAAAATTTTTACCATTTTTTTTTTTAGACAAATAGAGCTTTATTTTGGTGGTATTTGATCACCACGGGGGGTTTTATTTTTTGATAAACTAAAAAAGACCAAAAATGTTTAAAAAAGAAAAAAGTTTTTCTTTGTTTCCGTTATAAAGTTTTGTAAATGAGTCATTTTAATCCTTCATCGATGGGCACTGATAGGTTGCGTTGATGGGCACTGTTAGGCGGCACTGATTCACTTGATGGGCACTGATTGCCAGCACAGATGGGCACTAGTGGCCGCACTGATGGGGCTACACTGATCACCAAGACACTGATGATCAGTGCCCTGAAGATCAGTGTAGATGTCCCCCTGCGAAATGCTGCTTACCGGCTCTCCTCATGCGGTCAGCATGAGGAGAGGACTGCCGATAACCGGCATTTCCTATTTACCCGGTGATCAGCTGTGATTGGACACAGCGGCTGCTAATGGCCCTTTCCTTAGTCATGTGATCAGCTGTGTCCGAAAGACACAGATCGCGCGCATTGCATGCCCCAAGGGTGCGGTCCTGGGAGGACATCCATGGACGCCCTCCGAGAACTAGCCGACCGCGCTGTAACTGTCTTTTGGCTATAGCGCGGTCAGGAACTGGTTAGGGTTTCTTGGCAACTAGAAGTTTCAGCTCCATCCATAAACTTTCTACAGGATTAAGGTCTAGAGACTGGCTAGGCCACTCCAGGACCTTAATGTGCTTCTTCTTAAGCCACTCCTTTGTTGCCTTGGCGGTATGTTTTGGGTGACTGTCATGCTGGAGGACCCATCCACCACCCATCTTCAGTGTTCTGGCTGAGGGAAGAAGGTTCTCCTCCAAGATTTTACAATACCTGGCACCGTCGCCCCACACTCAATGCGGCAAAGTCAGCCTGTACCTTTAGCAGAGAAACAGCCCCAGAGCATGATATTTCCATGGTGTTCTTGGGGTCATGGTCAACATTTTTCTTCCTCCAAACACGGCGAGTCGAGTTAATGCCAAAAGAGCTCAATTTTGGTCTCATCTGACCACAGAACTTTCTCCCAATCATTTAGATGTTCACAGGCAAACTAGACAGGCCTGTACATGTGCCTTCTTGAGGAGGGGGACCTTGCGGGCGCTGCAGGATTTCAATCCATGACGGCATATTGTGTTACCAATGGTTTAATTGGGGACTGTGGTCCCAACTGCCCTGAAATCATTCACAAGCTTCTCTCCTGTAGTTCTGAGTTGATCCCTCACTTTTCTCATGATCATCCTTACCCCATGAGGCAAAATCTTGCATTGAGGGGGCGAGTTGTCTCCTTCTCACCAAGCTTCTTGTTGATGGTCTTGTAGCCCATTCCAGCCTTGTGCAGGTCTACAATCTTGTCCCTGATGTCCTTTGACAGCTCTTTGGTCTTGCCCATGGTGGTGAGGTTTGAATGGAAGGAAGATATTCTGTGGACAGGTGTCTTTTAAACACATAATGAGTTAGGAGCATCTTCTTAAATTGACAAGACTAATCTGTGTACCACATGAGCACATTGCCAGTCTGTGGGAGCCAGAATTATTATTGGTTGGTAGGGGATCAAATACTTATTTTACTCACTGAACCAACTCAATTTATATAACATTTTGTATCATGTTTTTTCTGGATTTTTGGTTGATATTCTGTCTCTATCATTTAAAATACACCTATGATAAAAATGATAGACCCTTCATTTCTTTGTAAGTGGGAAAACTTACAACATCTGCAGGGTATCCAGTAATTATTTTCCCCACTGTAAGTGAGAACACAATCAGCTATCAAAAACTGGCTAAGGTCTGAACCTTTCCCCACTTTTATCATGAAAAAAGTAACACATTTTTTGCACTGTAAATTTGACTTACAGACATATAGGGGGAGATTTACTAAAAATGGACCACTCAGAATCTGGTGCAGCTGTGCATGGTAGCCAATCAGCTTCTAACTTCAGTTTGTTCAATTACCCCCGGTTCACATCTATGCGGTTGGTGCTGCTGCGGATCCGCACGAAAATCCCTTCATCCGCACCACCCGCATAGAGAATTACGGACCGGCGGGCGGGTGCCATTAGTTCTAATGGCACGCCGCCCGCACTGGGAAACGCAACCGTACTGGGAACCTAAGTTCCCGTGCGGGCTGCGTTTTTCAAAGTAGTGCAGGGACTTCTTTCCCTGCGTGTCATGGGAATGAATGAATTCAAATGAATGGGCTGTCGTGCCCGTGCAAAACGCGCCCCGCACAGCCGCATAGGTGTGAACCTAGGGATAGGGTTTGACAACAGAACTTAGAAGCGGATTGGTTTCTCCACAGAGCTTCACCAGATTTTACACTCTCCAGTTTCAGTAAATCTCCCCCAGTGTCATTTTACTTCTAGACATTGAGGAGTACCTCTTCCTGGATGTACTGTAAGAGGAAGGGAGACGCTCGGAGATTGTCCACAGGAATGTTGAAAAATCCCTGAATTTCCTTTTGATGCAGGTCCATAGTAATGAGATGCGTTAAACCTATTGGAGGAGAGGAGGTAACAATGAGACAAAGCAGGCCAACACGAAGATCAGACACACATCCTCTATTCTCTCCTGCAAGGACGACTTCCACTTGCTGACTGTTTGTTAGACAAGATCTTAAATGACACAAACACCAAGATCCAAGTTTATAATGAGAATATACCGGCTGAATAAACATGCATGAATGCATTTCTTTACAGACATAATAGGACATCCAGCCACAATAGTTGAAATGTGTGTGCGTGACGGCATGTCATTAAAAGACAAAGGAAGCCACAAGGGAGGGGACAGTGCAAAATGTGCCCTAGAAAGCATATGACATTGGCCACGTTCCATCCAATATGGAACAATAATGTCCGGCTTTACAACCTAGCTGGGCAAAATAAGAAAACTATTCTGTACATTTCTCTGACGCAAGTACATTTCCACATGTTTTATCCATTTAAGAATGCTGTACAGAAAAATACTCTTTGATCGGCTAGATATCCAGCATATTCCCAACTTCCTGTCCAAGCTGACAACACATTGCTGCACTGAAATCCAAACTAGTGTTGTCACCCCTGCCTGCTGAATTACAGAACTCTGCCTATCCCTGTCTCTCTCTGTCCCTCTTAAAGCGGAGTTAAACTCACTCTGTAAAAAAAATAAAAGTCAGCAGCTACAAAAAATGTAGCTGCTGACTTTTAAAAAAAACAGCCACTTACCTATCCCACAATCCCATGGTGCCCCGGCTGTCCTGTATTCCAGGTGCCGGCATCTTCAGCGTGAGCACTTGGCTATGACAGCTTGCGGCTTCACAGCCGGGTGCCCACTGAGCATGTGCAAGTAAACCCCACTTCCCAGGAAAAAAAAATTATATTCATTAATTGGAAGCCATTTGTGTCCCTTTTACCCCCGGTTCACACCTATGCGGCCGTGCGGGCCGCGTTTTGCACGGGCACGAGAGCCCATTCATTTGAATGGACTCCCGTGCCCATGACACGCAGGGAAAGAAGTCCCTGCACTACTTTGGAAAACGCAGCCCGCATGAGAACCTCGGTTCCCAGTATGGCTGCATTTCCCAGTGCGGGCGGCGTGCCATTAGAACTAATGGCACTCCACCTGCGGGTCCGCAATCTTCTGTGCGGGTGGAACCGCACGAAAATCCGTGCAGCCGCACCACCCGCACAGAGAATCGCGGACCCGTGGGCGGGTGCCATTAGCTCTAATGGCACGCCGCCCGCACTGGGAAACACACCCATTCTGGGAACCCGCACAGATGTGAACCTAGGGTTAATGTTAGAGGAACTTCCTTTCAGATCGTGGCTACTTTCACGTTCCATAGTCCCCACTGTATGTGAAAATGTTGCTACACTCCTCTACTCGCTTCCTGAATGCACTACAGTAATGTGTTCTGGTGCTGGAGGAGACGTTATGCAAAAACAGAGAGAGACCTACCCTTGTCCACAAGGTTCAAAGGGAAAGCAGGGCAAGGACTGCAACCATGGGGATGCATGCGCAGTACTAGATAGGACATGTAGTTTCAGCAGTGCAATGCACGAGACTGCTATAGACATGCACTGCTCACAGCTGGCAAGCAAAGTGCAAAAAGGCTCCGGGTGGGGCATGCAGATGATCGTGAACAAAAGCAAGGAGTGCGTTCATCCTTTAAATATTCACAACACTTTAATTTTTACTATAATTAGCCCTGTCTGTACTGTGCTGGCAGATCTCATATGTATTTATTATTATTATTTCAGGTACTTATATAGCGCCGTCAAATTACGCAGCACTTTACATATATATTATACATTCACATCAGTCCCTAACCCTCAAGGGGTATACAATCTAAGGTCCCTAACCCTCAAGGGGTGTACAATCTAAGGTCCCTAACCCTCAAGGGGTGTACAATCTAAGGTCCCTAACCCTCAAGGGGTGTACAATCTAAGGTCCCTAACCCTCAAGGGGTGTACAATCTAAGGTCCCTAACTCACATTCATATACAAGGACCAATTTAGACAGGATCCAATTAACCTACCAGCATGTCCTTGGAGTGTGGGAGGAAACTGGAGTACCCAGAGGAAACCCACGCAGGCACAGGGAGAACATGCAAACTCCAGGCAGGAGGTGCTGTGGCTGGGATTCAAACCAACGACCCTAGTACTGCCAGGCGGACGTGCTAACCATTTAACCATATGTAAACTAGATTTGAACACTGTTTGTCCTAACAAAGGGTTAAAGCTCTAGCAGCTAGACTTCTCTAATGCAGGCCATACATGGGTCGAATTCCGAACGATGTTTCGTCTGAAAATCGAAAATGTTGTTTGCTCGGTAATCCGATGGCGCCATCGATGATTCCAAAAATCGGCCGACCAAGTCATAAAGTTCACCCCATATAACAGGCAAAACTTCTGTTCCTTCCAGGTCACGGCTCATGCGCATATTCTTTTCGGAAAAATGATCATACGATTTCACCATCATTGAGTTTAAAATCGGTAGTTTTTCACGAATTTTCCAACATGCCCGATCACCGAAAAGGGGAGGAGCCACGAAAATCGGCTAGTGCCATTGACCCACTAACAGAGCGAAAATCGGCTGATTATTCTTAGGTCTTAGGATTTTCGGACAAAAAATTGGTTAAATGTCGACCCATGTATGGCCGGCCTTAGTCTCCATGATTGGAAGAACTGAGATCTAGCACATGAAAGTTGTGGGCTGGGGAGGAAGGCGTTGGGTGATGCGGAACATCTATCAGCCAGGAAATGAAGTGGGCTGTATCTGACTTCCTGCAAATTGTAAGAAGCTCACAGTGTGCAGTGAAATCAGAGTAAGTAGGGTGGCACCGATACCTGTTTGTTACTGATACTTGCATTCAAGTACTCGCCGATACTGCTCACCAAGTTGTACTAATTTACCTGCAGTGAGAAAAGTGCAGTCGGGGACCTTGGTTGTACCGGCTTGCAGGGGTGAGGACGAAAAATCAGTCGAATTTCGACCCATGTATGGCCGGCATTAGGCTACGTTCACACTTCACTTTATTCCTAACTCTTGCCAAATGCCCCTATAGGGTTTGACAGGCGTTGGCGTTTCGGAAGTGTTTTTAACGCTCCCCAACGCCCAATGCGCATTTTTGAGGCGTTTGCAAAGCGTTAAAACCACACCGCAAACGCCTATAATGAAGTTAAATGGTATTAACGCCTTGCAAACGCGTCACCATAGACGTGAATGGGAGGCTTTAACTCCTCCTGACTCCACACGAGGCGTCAGTTTTGCCGCGACGCTAAGGCTTCAGTGTGAACAGAACTGTGTGCTGCCAGGTGCAGAATATTCATAGGTGTTTGAGAAGCATTAAAAACGCTTCCCAAACGCCTGTCTGATGCCTGCAAACAAAGCTAGTGTGAACATAGCCTTAGGTATGTTAATGCAAGGAAACTCAATGTGTCCCTCTTTGGGACAGATTGAGTTTCCTTTCATTTTAAAATAGAGGTTACGGGTTAAAAAAAAAACCCTACATACTCACCTAGGTGGATGTATGTCGGTCAGATGCTGCATCTGTCCCACCACCTCTACAACAAGAAAGGGAGCAATCAAAGACCTGATTCCTCAGTCTTCACTGAGCAGAGAGCTGGTGACTCTCAGTCATCGTCTCTCTGCTCTGTCCCTCCAACGCTCAGTGAAAGTGCTCGACTGTGCAGAGGGCGGGAGCGGCTGGCTCAGGCTCTAAGCGTGATCCATAGGAGAGGTATAGCCGAAAGAGCTTTGGCCTTACGTCTCCTTTAAATTGTTCAGAGTAGCTTACAGTCTGTCCAAGGCCTGCTCCAACCAACAAACACCTAGGAAGGTAAGAGATTATTTTTTTTTTAGTTATGCTGTGTAAATGGGAGCACATATAGCGGGGGGGTTCTTAAATTTGACTGCAAAAGTGGAAACGCACTTTAAATCCAGTCATGATGGACCAACAAGAATATGTATAGCCACTCAAACGACAAGTAAAGATATCGCCATTCAATCCCGGAAATATTAAAGGGTCCAGTTGTTCCACCTGGCCATTAGAGTCTCCAGTACCTCCGCCCGTAGAATGACAACCCATGGTTGGCCAAGTGGAACAACTGGACCCTTTAATATTTCTGAGTTCGAGTGGCGATATCTTTCCTTGTAGCTATCACATATTCTTGTTGGTCCATTCAATCTCTTTGCGCCCCTGCTCCGGAGGGTAGGACCCCAAACTATCGAGTGGTTTATATCTGTACTCTGGATCCTAATTATTGTATCTTCAGTATAGACATGCCTCATTCCTGCTGTGACCCACTGAATGGGTATGCATATTGATCGTCTTTGCATACTATATAATCGATAGAGGGGATCTCTTGCCTTCCACTCCCTCGCCTTAGCTCTGTCCCTATATCCGCCTGCCAGACTTTTCAGTGCCATATCTTCATTTCAGTTTGTATACACTCATTGTCCTCATGAAGCTATCTATTTGCAAAATGCATTGACATATCTGGATTTGGACAAGCATGCCTGCGCATATATTTCTGCTTATCTTTTATTAATGCGCACATTACAATAGGCTAGCGATTATACCAATCCAGTAGAAGCTATCTTTGTTTTCACTTGATTTTATTGTGTTGGATGTTTTTTTGTACCAAGAAATTGTAAAAAAAAAAAAAAAAATCTGTTTATATTTAATTACGTCTCGCGGTGTGCCGATAATGGTTGCTGGTGAAGATTTTTCTTCTCCAGTTTACTTTTCTATTGTTTATTTATTGTGAATAGCTGGTGAGTTGTGGAGGCATGTTCATGGCCTGCATACATCTTCCAAGGTAGGTACAAGACTTCCATACACGGCACCCTGCCACTACAATGGGGGAACCGCACATATATACATGGGCACGCTTCCTTACCAGCTTTACACATCATGGAGGCCAACAGCTTGGAGACAATGGAGCCCCTCTTCCTCATCTTGCACTGCTTGCTGTAGGGGAAGTAAGGGATGACGCCGCTGATCGTCTTGGCGCATGACGTCCGGCAGGCATAAAACCATGATTAATAGCTCCATGATTGTGGTGTTCACGTCTCTGAAATGAAAGAAAGAAGAAGACAAAATAAAGCAAAATGGCATATTTTGAATGCCAGCACTTTAATTCTAAAAAGAAAAAACAAATGGTCCCAATGTTGTACTCACCCACTGTATGCTCCAGCATTGTCCTCCACATTATTATACAGGATTTATATGGCGCCAACAGTTTGCTCAGCGCTTTACAATATAACGGGAGACAATACAGCAACAATACAGTTCAATACAAGAGGGATAGGAGGGCCCTGATCCTTGGAGCTTACAATCTAGGATCAGCTTCCTGTCATGGGGCGGCAATGATGCTGCACTGCTCCTAAGTTCAGGACAGAGTTACCACTCATGTAGGTTTTGTCTGCTTGCACTAGTTGGAGAAAATGTTGTAGGGGGTGTAGCTATCAGCATCAGTAATGTTGATTCACTAGCCTGTAAGCACCTGGCCACACCCAGCCCCACCCACTGCTCTTTGGATTGACAGCACTGCCTCTAATGCTGAATACCCTCCCACTGTGAGCTGCAGTGCCTGGGAAGGAGAACGTGTGAGACATAAATAAAGGAGGATTTGGCTCAGTCAGGGGAGGTAATGAAAGTTTCACAGTAACTGGATTTGGTCCTTGTTTAGACTGTTATACAGGAATTTGTATATCAACTTTAACCTCCCCTGGCGGTATTCCAGAGTGTAGCTCGGGGTTAACTTTCAGTACCAGAAGCTGTAACCCCGAGCTACACTGGAATACACTGCAGCGCTTCTCCAGCGATCCCTGTTTCACTTACCTTGTCCTTTGGTCCCGCGATGTCCCCTCTGCAGTGTCCCCAGCCATGTTCTCCGGCCGATGCCGGCATCCGTCTTCTGGGTTCCATTCCCTGCGAGCGTCGGGACACACGGGGGACGGAACCGGCGGGAAATTCAAAAATGTCAAAATTGTCCATTCACTCAATACACTAAAATTTTATATTCTTACATATTTTCTGTATCAAACCATTTCACATACATTTTGTCCCGAGTGCTTTGTCCTGCGCCCTGCCTGCATTTTTACTGTTCTTTCTGCCTGGAAACTGAGAAACGTCCATGGAGTCCAAAAAGTGTCCCTTTAGGTCAAAAGCGGTTTTAGACCGGCTAGAGAACAGCGATAGTAAATCAGAACCACTTGCAGAATTGAGTGATAATGATTCGTGGGGGAAATTCCTCATCAGACACTGAAAACGTTTTGCGACTGAACTCAACGGTGCGCGAACTTGGCGCTCTATTTAAAATTTCAGTGTTTTTGGTTTGATTACAATATTGAATTACATTTATTATTATTAGTATTTTTTATTTTTATTTATTAAATTATAATTTATGTTTTCGGGTTTCAAATTTTATCTTACCCGGGATGTTTACTAGACTCTTGTTCGGACAGATTTCAGTGAGTTATTCCTAAAAATTACAGGCCTACAATAAAAAAAAAAAACAACAACTTTCCATTGAAAACAATGTACCGCTTTGAGCACAGAAATACTGACATAATCAGACCGCTAGGGAAGCTGCCTTATATCAGAGTGTGATAGTGGATGTCCGCAGGTGAAAAATGTCATGCCTTTGGACATTAAAATCTGACTCCTGAGCAAAGATTTTTTGTATTAGCTCGCTCACAATTCACTCCAAGAAATCCCTATATAAGGTTGTATCTGAATCAGTAGATTATTACACAATGCTCTTTATGGCACAAGCTCTCATGCTATTTTTCACTGTCATCGCAGCCAACATTACTGTGGAGACATTAACTCTAGCTGTAATAGAAAAACATATTCCAACTTCTAATGCGTCATTCCAAATGGAAGCAGTTGTGCAGCTCCAGATGACAAGCCTCATCTACAGGGGCGGACTGACAACTCATGGGGCCCCCGGGCAATAGGGGATCATGGGGCCCCTGTGTCCTTGCCCAAACTCAAAAAAGCCTATGAAAAAGGTGCCAGGGGCATCTCATGGGGCCCCCTACTGACCCCGGGCCCTCGGGCAGTGCCCAAGTTTCTAAATGTTCAGTCCGCCCCTGGTCATTATCAATAGCGAATACTGTCCAGGAAACACTGCAACTAGGATAAAAGTATAAAACGTATAAAACGTATTCAGTGCGGTTTTAACCACTTCCCGTCCGGCCGGTGGCACTTCCCGTCCGAACGGTGGCAGTTCAGGGGCGAGTTGCTGTTCATAAACGGCGCCCGCCATTTTGGATTGTGCGCATGGCACCACGGAACACAGATCGCTGTACGGGACCTCTGCATGAGGTCCCAATCACGTGATCACTGGTTGGCCAATCAGTGATCACATGAATAGGTGTAAGCAAGATGTCACTTCTGACATCATTGCTTACTACGTGTGAAATCTGTGAATGATCACAGAGATCACATGGTACAAGCAGGGGCGGACTGACCATTTGGAAACTTGGGCACTGCTTGAAGGCCCGGGGTAAGTAGGGGGCCCCATGAGATGCCCCTGGTACTTTTTTTATAGGCTTTTTTGAGTTTGGGCAAGGCCACAGGGGCCCTATGATCCCCTATTGCCCGGGGACCCCATGAGTTGTCAGTCCGCTTCTGGGTACAAGGCTATTCACAACAGCCTTGTACCATGTGACAAGCTGTGACCAATCACAGCTCACACAGTATTTCTCAATGGCTGCAAGAATGCAGCCAGAGAGAAGGAGAAATGATTGCTTTTACAGCCTTTATGGGTGTAAGAGCAATAAGTGTAAAAAAAAAAAAATCTTCATCACCCCCCACCAAGTAGTACAGTGTCACTATGGTGACACTGTACTGCTAGGGTGACAGTATGTAAAAAAAAAAAAAAAACAAAACAAAAAAAAAAAACCAAATAATCTAAAAAAATAAAAAAATAAAAATGTAAAAAATTGGGGTTATTTTTTTTTTAAAAAGATAACTGAATACATTTTGGCCAATTTATAAGATAATTTTTTGCAAACTTATAATACTAATTGGGGTTATTTTTTTTTACTAAAAAGATAACTGAATACATTTTGGCCAAGATTTATAAAGAAAGATAATTTATTTGCAAACTTTTATAAGAAAAACACTTTTTCAAAAATTGTGGACTTTTTCGTTTATATAGCAAAAAAAATTAAAATCCCAGTGGTGAATAAATACCACCAAAATAAAGTTTGATCTGTCTCAAAAAAATGCTAAAAAATTTCAAATGGCTACAGTGTTGCATGACGGCACAATTGTCATTCAAAGTGTGACAGCGCTGAAAGCTGAAAATTGGCCTGGACAGGAAGGGGGTGAAAGTGTCCGGACTTGAAGTGGTTAAAAAGAGTCATGTCCGATTTCTGAGCAGTGCGGTCCAGTTCAGGTGCGGATTACAGTCTATTGACTCTATTGGGAACAGTTTCTATACAGTATATGTGTGAACAGGATAAGATCCTGAGCTAATCCTGTCCTGAACCTGACCTGAACGGGTGAACATACCAATTAGCTGTGAAACCTGTGCTTCAATCGGCATCGCACATGTGCAGGGGCGGACTGACCATTTGGAAACTTGGGCACTGCCCGAGGGCCTGGGGTCAGTAGGGGGCCCCATGAGATGCCCCTGGTACTTTTTTCATGGGCTTTTTTGAGTTTGGGCAAGGACACAGGGGCCCCATGATCCCCTATTGCCCGAGGGCCCCATGAGTTGTCAGTCCGCCCCTGGACATGTGTGAAATCAGCTCTTAAAACCTCATTCACATGGGGCATATTAATGTGCACCCTGTGCGAGGGCCGCGTTTACCCACACGGGGGTGTCCCTTTGATACCTGTTGGGACAAACACAGCTGCTGCTCCCAATTTGACATCCATGGGGGGTGCACGGCCCCACATACAGACTGTGTGCGTTTGAGGCCATGCACCTACATGGATGTCAAATTGGGTGCGGCTGCTGTGATCCGATACACATTAAAGAGGCTGCCTACACTGGGGATGCATGAAACACATGTACATCCCCCTGAGGGTAAAAATGGCCCTTGTGCAGGGTATGCACTGTGTGAATGAGGCCTCATCCTTTCAGTTAAGAAGTCCTTTTAAAAGGCTCCCCATGTGACAGTCTAAACCAGGGGTCTCCAAACCTTGTAAACCAAGGGCCAGTTTACTGTCCTTCAGACTTTATGGGGGCTGAACTGTGGGCATTAGGAGCAGAAATTGTCTTGGTGTCCGTGGGCATAAAAAAACTCATCTTGGGTATTAGAGTGAGGAATAGTGCCCTGTTGTTGGTGTCACTGGGAGGAACAGTGCCCCATCGTTGGAGTCGGTGGAAGAAAAAAATTCCCCATTGTTGGTGTCAGTGGGAGGAGTAATGTCCCATTGCTGGTGTCAGTGAGGGAAATAGTGTCCCATTGCTGGTGTCAGTGGAAGGAGGGGGGGGGGGGGGGGGGGGGAAGAACAGTGCCCCATTGTTGGTGTCAGTGGGGGGGGGGACAGTGCCCCATTGTTGGTGTCAGTGGGGGGGACAGTGCCCCATTGTTGGTGTCAGTGGGGGGGAACAGTGCCCCATTGTTGTCAGTGGGGGGGGACAGTCAGTGGGGGGGAACAGTGCCCCATTGTTGGTGTCAGTGGGGGGGAACAGTGCCCCATTGTTGGTGTCAGTGGGGGGGAACAGTGCCCCATTGTTGGTGTCAGTGGGGGGGGAACAGTGCCCCATTGTTGGTGTCAGTGGGGGGGAACAGTGCCCCATTGTTGGTGTCAGTAGGGGGGAACAGTGCCCCATTGTTGGTGTCAGTAGGGGGGAACAGTGCCCCATTGTTGGTGTTAGTAGGGGGGGGGAACAGTGCCCCATTGTTGGTGTCAGTAGGGGGGAACAGTACCCCATTGTTGGTGTCAGTGGGGGGGGGGGGGGAACAGTACCCCATTGTTGGTGTCAGTGGGGGGGGGGGAGAGTGCCCCATTGTTGGTATCAGTGGGAGGGGAACTGTGTCCCATTGTTGGTGTCAGTGGAAGAAAAAATTCCCCATTGTTGGTGCCAATGTAAGCAATAGTGAC